GTTGGGAGGGGAGGTCATCATCATCATTGCCTTTCTTACCCTGCACCAGGGTATAGTCCACGGACAAACACTTTCCACTTTTCTCTATCCTGGGCTAGCCTCCTTATGTTCTTCCATGTCTTCCCTTCTTTTCTGTACATGATCAATTTCTGTGATTCTCCTCCAGGTTCCACGAGGTCTTCCCATTGGTCTCTTAACCTGTGGATTCCAATCCAAAACTTTCTTTTTTTATGCAGCTGCCTGACTTCCAAATCAAGTGGTTCGGACACCTCACGCGGATGCCCTCAAACCATCCAGCTCTGAGAGCATACAACATTAAATATTCGGGATGCAGAGCCAGAGGAAGACCAAGACGACGATGAAGTGAATCTATGGCAGACACCTCCAGAGCTTACGGGATGTCTCTCCTACAGGCCACTCGCCTTGCTGTAGACAGACGCCTGTGTCCCCCCGCGACACCCACCGGTACAAGTGGAAGAAAAAAGTAAAGTAAAGTAAAGCCTGACTTCCTGAGAGTATGTCCAATCCATCGCCACCGCCTTCTTCCAACCTCCAACGTTTCGACTGAGTTTCCTTTCCAAAAATGGCTTTCCCCTCTTGGTCCTTTACTGGTACTTCAGGTTCCAGGAAGAGCTTTTGTGGTCTGGTAAAGGATTCGCATTTGCCCTCCTACCGCTGCTTCCTCTGCCTTCTCTGCCAGCCTTTTCATGAATTCCTCCTTGTCTTTTTTTGTGATTTCTTGACATCCTTAGCTGTTGTCCTGTACTGCTCCAATGCATCCGCTCTTGATTCTTTTGTTCTACTTGCATTCGCGTCTGCCTTTAGTTGTCTTCTTATTCTAATTAAATCTAATGAGTGTTGGTTAATTCACTCCTTGCGCTCCCATTTCTTTTCACCGAGTACTTCTTGACATATCGATTTAAATACTTCTTTGATCTTGGTCCACTGTGTATCCACCTCCTTGTCCTCTCTACCAATATTAGCCAGAGGTTGAAATCTGTACCTTAACTGCAGTTAAAACTCCTCTTTCTTGTGTCCATCTAAGAGACTTACTTGGAATGGGAGTGGGAGGTGCAGGGGTAAAAAATAGGGGTGGGGGCGGGAGGGAGGGAGTTAATTGCGGATTATCAGTTGATCTTATCGTTCCTTTGACTCATTGAAAACACGACGGCTACTGCCTGACCAGCATTTTGATGGCGGGCGTCTCCAACTTTAATTGGATTGTATGACATGCGCCAACTCCTTCTTTTCATTTTGGGGGTTTGTTCTAAAAATAAAAAAGGAGAAAAACAATTTTAAGGGATTATTTCATATCATTCCGGGTTGGCAGCCGGTGTTCATCTGTTTAGTGATCGTAGATATGCACAATGTGCACACGAGACCCCCAACAATTTTTCTTCTTTATCCAATAAAATGATATGCTCGACCTTAGCAAACCAAAGAGTTTTGTGTGCCAGAGTGAGTGGGCGGGTGAGTGTGCGCTCACGTGCGCGCCGGAGAGAGAGAGAGAGAGAGAGAGAGAGAGAGAGAGAGAGAGAGAGAGAGAGAGAGAAGGGGGGGAGAGGGAGAGAAAGACAGGGAGAGAGAAATACAGAGAGAGGGAGAGAAAGACAGAGAGAGAGAGAGATAGACAGAGACAGACAGACAGGCAGACGGAGAGAGAGACGGGGAGAGACAAGGAGAGAGAGGGAGACAGACAGGCAGACAGGGACACACACACAGAAAGAGAGAGAGAGAGAGAGAGAGAGAGAGAGAGAGAGAGAGAGAGAGAGAGAGAGAAAGAGAGAGAGAGTTTGTTAAGATGCTCACAATAGAATAAATTAGGAGGCAGATTTCATGTCACGCAATGTTGACCTAAAAAAAAAAAAGTATCCCTATACGTACGTCGTGTTTTACTATCCCGTATCCATGCGACGTGGTGAACTTCGTGCCACCACTTTCAAAGAGGAAATTTGCTCGTTAATCTGTTGCATAATAGTCTGTCAAAAATGATTTTTTGAAAATACTGAAAGTTTGAAAGAGAACTTCGTACTAGAAGTATTCTAAAATGTGAAGAATACAACCCCGGGTTACAAAATGACCCTGCGGCATACGGATTGGGTTAAAGAGTTAAGTTAAGACAAGTAGTGCAAGGCAAAGATAACACAAGCAGACAAAAAACAGAAGAAAGAACAAAAGTCTATTCTGAAAGTTCGTGTACCACCGCCCAAATACGCCCCTCCCCCCCCCCTCCTTTTTTTCATAAGTAAGAAAAGCGGAAGTTTTACCCCCCCCCCCCCCCCCACCACACACACACACACCCCAAAAAGCAAACTAACTAACAAACGAACAAACAAAATAAATCCGTCCATGAGCGTCTGACGATGACCAGCGTATTTGCAGAAGAGATTGTTTCTTAAATGAAACAGAAGAAATAAGGGTTAAAATGACTTGAGGCTTCTAGTCAGTGTTGAATAGCTTGAGGCTTTTATCATATTGGTTTCGCCATTTTTAACTCATGAATTCCCATATATCGCAGCGTGGTGGAATCAGGCTCTTGTAAAAATAATGAAACTGAAAAACCGGACATTTTTGGTCTTTGCTGTGCTTATTTTAAGTCCAAAGTTTGAAAAAGAACCAACACAGTTTTGCAAGCTGGATTCTTCATGAACAGTCAAAGGACTTGCACATCGACAAATAGCTTTTGTTTTTTGCCTGCAGCCTACGAGAGTTGAAATCTTTAAAAGTCCAGTCTACACCTTATATCAACGTCAGCAGAGGGGCTTGATATGTTTTCTGCATCACTGTTGACGCTAAAAAGTATGTTGTTATCGATCCAGCAACGCTAAAAAGTTTAAGTTCCAACACACAGCCCTGCTGCACTCCATGTGCCACACAAAATGCTTCAGACATATCACCATTGCTCTTGACACTGGCTTTCATGCGTCATGAAATTGGCGAACCATAGTAGTGAACTTTGGCGTGCAACTGAACTTCGCCAGGATATCCCATAAACCTTTCGGATTAACAGCATCGAAAGCCTTTGTCAGATCAACAAGTGTAATGTATTCAGCTATTTTCTGTTCTATGCACTTTTCCTGGATCTGCATGACTGCAGAAATCTTGTCTATTGTACTCCTGTTGCTGCAGAAGCCACACTAATTTTCACGAAAAAAAATCATTTGAAGAGAGATGCTTCAACAGGCGATTGGGAAGAATTCGGGCCAGGATCTTGCAAGCTGTAGACATGAAGGAATGCATCTATGATTGTCACTTGACTGCCTGTCTCCTTTATTTTTCAACAGATGAATAATAGTTGCATTGCTGTACCCTTTTGTAATTTTTTAACACTCCCAGATTCGACAGAATAGTTCAGTCAGTACTTCAACAAGACGATAGCCGTCAAAAGCAAAGACCAGAAAATGAAGAAAACTAGTATTCTCAAATGACATCATTAATTCAAAGAAACAGGAACTCTCGAAGCAAACACTTTTGATGTCTATGCCTTGACGCTGCTCAGCAACCTCGTTCCAGAACGTTTTCTAATGAGAGTATTCTCTTCTCTATGAAGAGGAAGATTTGCTGTGTATCGAGGCAAAGACGCAGAGAAAGATAGTGAAAAGAGACAAAGAGACATTTTCTGAGCAAACACGACAGCGAGGCATGATTCTTGGCTCCAAACACGACAGCGAGGCATGATTCTTGGCTCCAAACGTTTTCACAGAATGTGTTTCTGTACCTTTCCAAGGTAACAACAGTTAGAAACTGCCCAAACCAAATAGCAATGTATCTATCTAGATCTAGATCTAGATATATAAAGAAATATATCTGCTCAGAGAGAAACAGAAGCCTTAGCTGATACTACTGAACATAATAACCGTAATCTTCATCATCATCCAGTGCCAGATCTGCGACAGACATCGGCAATCATGATTTTCCATTCATTCCTTTGCTCGGATGCTCTCAGAAAAGTTACGTTAGCTTTCCCTGAAACCCATTTGTTTAGGTTCCCTAAGTATGTTGTTCTGGGCCTACCCCTGCCTCGCTTGCCCTCAATTTTGCCAGTGAGAGCTAGATGTTCAAGACCCTTATGTCTATTCAGGTGTCCCAAAAACTGCATTTGTCGTTTCCTGATTGTTTTTAACATTGAGCGTCCCACGTGGGCTTCATCAAGCACTACCTTATTTGATTTCTTTTCCTTCCACGATACTCTTAGCAGTCTCCTAAGAAACCAGATTTCTGTCGCCTCTATTTTATTTTCACTGTCTTTAGTGATTGTCCAGCATTCACAGCCATATAGAAGGGTTGACCAAACATAGCATTTCAGGACTTTCATTTTGGTGTTCATTGATATGTTTCTATTTTTCAAGGTTGGGCTCATTTTATTGAAACCAGCCTTAGCCATTGCAGTTCTCCTTTTTATTTCTGTGGAAGATTTGGCATCAGATGTTATTATATATCCTAGATATTTAAACTGTTGGACTTGTTTGATCTTTTCCCCTATGCTATTAGATTACAACTAGGATTTGCTGCTTTTTTAAATATTACCATGCATTCTGTTTTCTTTACATTCAACAATAATCCTTTACGTTCATATTCTTTTACAACAGTATCCAGAAGCAATTGAAGGTCCTTTTCGGAGCCTGCTATTAAAACCGTGTCATCT